AGAGAGAGAGAGAGAGAGAGAGAGAGAGAGAGAGAGTATTGTATTGAAGGGGATTATGTTTTTGTATGTGACAACATATTTGGCGTATGTCTTTATTCATTTTATTTTAACATACTAATTTTAGATGTCCTTTCTCGGTAAATTTGTGATGACCAACCTGTGGCTTTTTGGACCTCTTGTTTCCAGGTGAGGATTTTAAAATTAAGATTTATGTACCAAATGTTTGAACAGTGTGGACCACTAGTTCAATAATAATAATGCTGTTTTTTTTTCTTTTTAAAAGTATCAAGATGAAAAGAATATGTTGCTGTTTTATAGCAGATCATTTGGCTTAGCGTACATATGAAGTTGTTACAATATTCAATGCTGAGTTCAATTTGGCCTTCAAGTAGGTGTCTTGTTATCTGTTTCTTGAAAATGTTTCTATGTCTATCATCTATGTATGCACCACCCTTTCTGTTAAGTTTAATAGTACTCACTCTGAGCCACCCACCCACTACTAATAAGCTTTCCTAAAAGCCAAATAAGGGTATAATAATATATTGCCCCAAAACAAATTTACAAAACTTTTATTGGACCAGCTTCAATTTTAATGTTGTTTGATTTTGGGATGGCGGTATCATCACAGACTGAGTTCTAGAGTGAATGTTTCATTTTAGAGCCCTGGCCAGTAAACCTGCAACAAACGGCCAGGTGAGGACTACCACGGCCATTACAGTGTTCAACTCAGGAATAAAGGTTGGTGGAAAGTTAATTTTGGCTGTCCATCTGTCTGTTTGTGAATGCAATATTGTCTGCCACCCCCTGCATTTTTTGTCCATTTTAAGAACACTGCTTGTACACGTGCACACTCACACACACCAAACAGCTTGCTATTTTTGGTTTGCAATTTTTTTGACCAGTGAAAGCGATTTTAAAGTGAATTGGTGTTACATATGCCTTCAGTGATACATGTATGCTTATTTATTTATTCATTTATTTATTTATTTATTTCAGGACAATGTTCTCCCTCCAGTAGCCACAGCCTATGTAAACCACAGAATACATCCAACACAGTCCATTTATTTATTTATTTATTTATTTATTTATTTATTTATTTATTTATTTCAGGACAATGTTCTCCCTCCAGTAGCCACAGCCTATGTAAACCACAGAATACATCCAGCACAGTCCATTCAGGATGTGAGTGACGTCTGAAACTTCTCTACGCTGGAGTTTGTACCTTGTTTCCCCAAATTAGAAATAAATCTATTTTACAAAAAAAACAAATAAACATATTTCAGTCAGTGTTGAAAATTGCCAGCAGTAGTTTAAATATGAACTGTAATGATAACCCACTTGCACTCAAGGCAATGGGCAACATCACTAAATTTGGGAGTATGCAGGCTTGGTTTTTTGTTGAGTCAAATGCCCAGTTTTACATCAGATTAGATGTAGAATGGTAAAGCAAACAAAAAATATAAAAGGATTTAATTTTCTAAATCCCAATGGCCCAATGTGAGTAGTGGTACTTTACAGTGAACCTGCCTTTAAAGTGAACATACATATGGGGCTCGACAATTGTCCTTGAATACAATATATTTTTCTTTCAATTAGAGTTAATTGATTGACTCATTAATTTGCAAATTACTTAAATTTTGTTAATATAAGCTTTAACATTTTACATTACTTTTCCCCAGGTTATAGACTATGACAAGGCAGTTATCAATGATGAGAGAGTCCAGATAAAATTATCCCGGTCTGTTATGAACAGAGAGCCATCCCCTATCTCCCCTACAGGCCCAGAAGACTTTGGCTACCAGATAATTAGGTCAAGTGTGAAGCAGGTGTTTCCAGATGCTGTCACTGTACCAGGTAGGTAGTGGTTGATACCCTCACCCCACCCCAACCCACCCCCCTTCACTACCCACTGTACCAGGTAGGTAGTGGTTGATACCCTCACCCTACCCCAACCCACCCCCTTTACTACCCATTGTACCAGGTAGGGAGTTGTTATTGACAACCCCCTTCAACCCCCTCCTCTCTCTGTCTTACCCCCCCCCAGCACCACCATGGGGTTTGTTATTAAAAAAACAGTTTTGAGATTTTACATCTGTATTTTGGATAGGATATTTTTTAGCACAATGTTTCTTATTGCTTTGGGAGAAGCTGGTTGTGAATGATATCATGCTTTTAAAGTTAATTGAAAGTAAATTCCTAATTTGATTTGGCAAAGCTTTAAATTTGTTTAATCCTTGCATAGCCAATACATATCCACTGTTCTCTTGATGAAAACTGTATTGCATAATTCATACATTTTATACATTGTCAAGTCCCCATTGCGTTTTTCATCTCCTCTAAATTTGGAATCTGTGTTGTTGCCATAATAATGGTATTAGCAAAAGTAAATAAAGGCAATACTTGTTTATTTTTTTACGATGTCAATTAGGTTGAAAAATTTTAAGTGCTTCTAAGTACATTTTTTAATTATGGTATATTTATAGTAAATATCTAGATAAGCAATTATGCTAACAATTGCCTTTGCTTATTGTAGGTATTCTGATGGGAAACACAGATACAAAGCACTACCTGGACCTGACTAAGTCTGTCTACCGATTCCTGCCTGCCGTTCTTGTGCCTGAAGATTCAAAGAGAATTCATGGATTCAATGAGAGAATCGCCGTACAGAACTTTGAGCAAATAATCAACTTCTTTTATCACCTTATTCTCAACGCAGACCAGGAAAAGTTGCAGGTTCTTCACTCCCATACTGAGGAATTGTAAACTATGGGAACCTCAATAGGGGGCAGCAGCATATCAATCTGTACAGCAGAGGGCAGCACAATAGAGTTATACCAGGAAAAACCAAGCACAAAAAGAATTCAAAGAATATTTACAGCTATTGAAAATTGTCAGCTAACAGTGATAGACCATTTTTGGTCATTAAATATTCCATAGAAATATACAAAAAAATAAGTATTAATCAACGATAAGATAACCATTCCATGGTTTTTGATACGGACAACATTATCCTTACAGTAACTGTTTTGAACTTTTTGTTCATTTATTCTGTTGTAATTGTTCAGCTCTACAACATCAGTGGGAGGTTGAAAAAACAGTATTTAAATACATATATTGAATGACATATTTATTTACTATTTATTTGATTCAAGTTGTTTTTCGGGTAACAGGGGTTTTATTTGACAGTGTCTTATTTGAATATAAGATGATTTTATGCAAGCAAAGAAACATAAAGATGGAATATTTTAGCATGATTTTAACTTAGTCCAGGATGTGTGCTCCATAATGCAGAAAATTATTTTAAATGATTATTAACCATTTTTTTTACAAAAAGATTTATGCTATCTGCATTAATTATTTGTTGTTAATTATTAAGTTGCATTGAAATAATGCAATTTGGTAGTTTTTGGTAGAAATTATTTGATTATCATGTAAAAAAGGATTTGGAAGGTATTATTGTCAATTTCTAAGGGAAATTTAAGAAAAGATAATGTAAGAAGTGTTGAGAACCTGCTAGAGATAGTTTTGTGTTATTGTAAAGATGTGTAAGAAAAACATTTTTAGGGTGAAAAAGTAGTGTGTGTTTATTGTTGGGTTACCAACTTGAAACCTTGTTTGATTTTTATTTAGTTGTAGTAGGGGTCTATCTAGCTATCTACAAAATAAGAGAGGGAGAGTTTTTTTTTTACCAGACATTATTAACTTAGGCTTTAATTATTTAAATATAACTAGAAAACTGAATGATATCCAAATATTTTTTAAACATATTAAGTGATTTATTATTGTTGTCAAGTGGCATGCTGTAGGTGATTGGTTAATGTCAATAGGATAGAACTGTAGGTAATTTTACTCAATGTTATTAATGAATTCTTTTAATAAACAATAAAGTATAATGGTTTTGACGAGTGCTATGGTATAGATTTTGTGGTACTTATATTTTATTCAGTTGCCAAAGAAATTTTTGTATTTGAAAAAAAATAATAATAATACAAGTGCATTACAAGCTTTGGTAAACATTGTACATTGTTTGTTCTTATGAACAGAAGTAAAAGAATTATGAAGGTGATTTTAAAACAATCACATCATAACTTGCGATTTTTAGAAGCATTTTAATTATCATATAATGCTGTGATTTGTGAAAGAAACCATTCACTTATTGACTTCAAATATAGATTGATATCATTGTGCTTGGAAACTGAAATGAAGAGAATTGGGAAATGAAGCCAGAATTAGATTATATCTCAAAGAAAATGGGATGAAATCTGGGAATATTTTGCACCAATTATTTGATGCCTTTTATTATAAATTCCTGAATATTCTTTATGTATCTCTAACTGTAAACTTATGATGAAATAAATGTTTTATGTTAGATGATTAGTGTTTAAAAAGTATAATTATTTTTAACAATGAAAAATGCTAAACGGTGTGAAGTTCTTAAAAATATTTATTTTCAAGAAAAAATATGTATGAATGTGTATATATATTCAGAATACCGCCGCTAAGTAGGACGCCGACATGGTTTTTGTGACCTTGCCCCATTCTCCTAGGTACACGTATTTTTACACTTAATTACAAATTAATTGCATAATGTAAATGAAATCATCTTTATAGCAAAGAGTGCAACATATCTCGGCTTCCTAACATAAACATTTACCTCTGAAAAGCAACGTTGAGAGAATGAAGCGACGGGAGGCGCACGTGTAGCATGTTTTAGTCACGCCCCGTCGAGTTCGTTTCTGTTCTCTTGCGGGTGCTAAAACATGGCTGCCTCAGGTCGGTCGATATCAACAAGACCAACCAAACCGATAGGCAGGTCTCTCGGAGGATTATTCTGCAAGCTGGGCCTTCTCACTGTTATCATATCCACGTCGTTATTTCTAGTATGTTTAATACGAGCGCTGACTTTTGAAATTCGGGAGATAGATTACAAGCCGTGCAAAGTCACGGACGAAGACTACATTCGTGCCGATGGAGACGTTGTTGACCGGTTTGTTCATTCACTTCGTTTTAAAACTGTGTCGACATCTAAGCATGACTACAATCGGGACGAGCTGCTCAAGTTTCAGCTTTTTCTAAAGAGAGGTAAAATTTATTCTATCCACATTAAAAACAGTGGGCGGGGAGGGTGGNATTGCTTTGGGAGAAGCTGGTTGTGAGTGATATCATGCTTTTAACGTTAATTGAAAGTAAATTTCTAATTTGATTTGGCAAAGCTTTAAATTTGTTTAATCCTTGCATAGCCAATACATATCCACTGTTCTCTTGATGAAAACTGTATTGCATAATTCATACATTTTATACATTGTCAAGTCCCCATTGTGTTTTTCATCTCTAAATTTGGAATCTCTGTTGTTGCCATAATAATGGTATTAGCAAAAGTAAATAAAGGCAATACTTGTTTATTTTTTTACAATGTCATTTAGGTTGAAAATGTTTAAGTGCTTCTAAGTACATTTTTTAATTATGGTATATTTATAGTAAATATCTAGATAAGCAATTATAGTAACAATTGCGTTTGCTTATTGTAGGTATTCTTATGGGAAACACAGATACAAAGCACTACCTGGACCTGACTAAGTCTGTCTACCGATTCCTGCCTGCCGTTCTTGTGCCTGAAGATTCAAAGAGAATTCATGGATTCAATGAGAGAATCGCCGTACAGAACTTTGAGCAAATAATCAACTTCTTTTATCACCTTATTCTCAACGCAGACCAGGAAAAGTTGCAGGTTCTTCACTCCCATACTGAGGAATTGTAAACTATGGGAACCTCAATAGGGGGCAGCAGCATATCACTCTGTACAACAGAGGGCAGCACAATAGAGTTATACCAGGAAAAACCAAGCACAAAAAGAATTCAAAGAATATTTAAAGCTATTGAAAATTGTCAGCTAACAGTGATAGACCATTTTTGGTCATTTAATATTCCACAGAAATAAACAAAAAATAAGTATTAATGAACTCAATGATAATACTTATGATAACATCATTCCACGGTTTTTGATACAGATAACATTATCCTTATAGTAACTGTTTTGAACTTTTTGTTCATTTATTCTGTTGTAATTGTTCAGCTCTACAACATCATTGTATGTATCAGTGGGAGGTTGAAAAAACAGTATTCAAATACATGTATTGAATGATATATTTATTTATTATTTATTTGATTCAAGTTGTTCATCGGGATGGGGATTTTATTTGACAGTGTCTTATGTGAATGTAAGATTTTATGCAAGAAAACAAACATTAAGATAGAATATTTTAGCATGATATTCTATTAACTTAGTCCAGGATGTCTGCTTCATAATGCAGAAAATTATTTTTAAATGATTATTAACCTTTTTTTTTACGAAGAGATTTTGTTATCTACATTAATTATTTGTTGCATTGAAATTGTGCAATTTGGTAGTCTTTGGAAGAAATTATTTGATTATCATGTAAAAAAGGATTTGGAAGGTATTATTGTCAATTTCTAAGGAAATTTTAAGAAAAGATAATGTAAGAAGTGTTGAGAACTGGCCAGTGATAGTTTTGCATTATTGAAAAGATGTGTAAGAAAACCATTTTTTATGGTGAAAAAGTAGTGTGTTTATTGTTGGGTTACCAACTTGAAACCTTGTTTGATTTTTATTTGGTTGTAGTAGGGTCTATCTAGCTATCTACAAAATAAGAGAGGGAGAGAGGATTTTTTTTTACCAGACATTATTAACTTAGGCTTTAATTATTTAAATATAACTAGAAAACTGAATGATATCCAAAGATTTTTGATCATATTAAGTGATTTATTATTGTTGTCAAATGGCATGCTGTAGATGATTGGTTAATGTCAAAAGGATAGAACTGTAGGTAATTTTACTCAATGTTATTAACAAATTCTTTTAATAAACAATAAAGTATAATGGTTTTGATGAGTGTTATGGTATAGATTTTGTGGTACTTATATTTTATTCAGTTGCCAAAGAAATTTTTGTTTTTGAAAAAAAAAAATAATACAAGTGCATTGCATGCTTTGGTAAACATTGTACATTGTTTGTTCTTATGAATAGAAGTAAAAGAATTATGAAGGTGATTTTAAAACAATCACATCATAACTTGTGATTTTTAGAAGCATTTTAATTATCATATAATACTGCGATTTGTGAAAGAAACCATTCACTTATTGACTTCAAATATAGATTGAAAACTGAAATGAAGAGAATTGGAAAATGAAGCCAGAATTAGATTATATCTCAAACAAAATGGGATGAAATCTGGGAATATTTTGCACCAATTATTTGATGCCTTTTATTATAAATTCCTGAATATTCTTTATGTATCTCTAACTGTAAACTTATGATGAAATAAATGTTTTATGTTAGATGATTAGTGTTTAAAAAGTTTTTTAACAATGAAAAATACTAAACGGTGTGAAGGTCTTAAAAATATTTATTATCAAGAAAAAATATGTATGAATGTGTATATATATTCAGAATACCGCCGCTAAGTAGGACGCCGACATGGTTTTTGTGACCTTGGGTTGCCCCATTCTCCTAGGTACACGTATTTTTACACTTAATTACAAATTAATTGCATAATTAATGTAAAGAAATCATCTTTATAGCAAAGAGTGCAACATATCTCGGCTACCTTACATAAACATTTACCTCTGAAAAGCAATGTTTAAAGAATGAAGCGACGGGAGGCGCGCGTGTAGCACGCTTTAGTCACGCCCCGTCGAGTTCGTTTCTGTTCTCATGCGGGTGCTAAAACATGGCTGCCTCGGGTCGGTCGATATCAACAAGACCAACCAAACCGATAGGCAGGTCTCTCGGAGGATTATTCTGCAAGCTGGGCCTTCTCACTGTTATCATATCCACGTCGTTATTTCTAGTATGTTTAATACGAGCGCTGACTTTTGAAATTCGGGAGATAGATTACAAACCGTGCAAAGTCACGGACGAAGACTACATTCGTGCCGATGGAGACGTTGTTGACCGGTTTGTTCATGCTCTTCGTTTTAAAACTGTGTCGACATCTAAGCATGACTACAATCGGGACGAGCTGCTCAAGTTTCAATTTTTTCTAAAGAGAGGTAAAATTTATTATATCCACATTAAAAACAGTGGTCGGGGAGGGGGGGGGGGTCACGTTTAATAACTGTCTTGAAAGGGGCGTGTCGCACTGTTGCGGGAAGTGTGTGTACGTGTTTGAGGGGGGGGGGTGTGCTGATATACGTAATACACATAATAGTGATTTGTTTTCTTTGCGAAAAAAGAAACCGCTATGTATATACCTTTTGTTTGTGAAAAAATGCTATGTGCCATACGTGTAACTATATATATGTATACATATGTAACTACAGGTGTAGCAGTATATTAATTCACTGTATATGAATGTATTACGGTTATGGTTATAGTGAAGTCAAATACTTTGAAACTTGAAGTACAGTTAGCATGCACTTAGTTTTATTTTATTTTTTAAATTTATTCCAGAATTCCCCACAATCCATAATTCACCGTTAGTACATCACCAAGTGGTAAATGGCTATAGTTTGCTCTATGAATTACCAGGTACAGTACAGGTATAGGTTGTATTGAACAATGTAATAATTATTAATTATAATGTAACAGTTATATAACATTGTATTTTTATTTTACAATTTTATTTTCATTCATTAAATATATTTTTTATTTGTTTTGCAATTAAAATGTAGTAGGGACTCCCTTTGACTGCAGTCAATATAATAATCAGCCTTAATGACTAACCATACTATTTTATTTAGGGACAATATACAAGTACTAGTACCTGTGACGACTTTTATTCTATAGAACTTAAAAGAAAACAAGGAGAAAAAATATTCCAAGTTTTACATTCTGCCCACTAACTTTCATTGATTAAACCACATTGCACTCTATATATTTTTGTACCACTCTCTTCTAAATCCCATGAAATCTGGAATAGAATTAACCTTTAACTGTATCTGAGACTTTGGAGTGCTATATGAAGGAGCTATTTACCTGAAACCCCTAAATCTACACTTGAACAAAAATTTTCGTAAACATTGTTATTTCTAATAACTATAAAATAATCATATGAGCTCAGATAAGTATTTTAACCAAATATTGATGAATAAATTTCACCCACCATTTGTTACTTTTTACATATACAATGAAGATTTTCTAACTGCATAACATAGTTTTTCATTATTGAGAAACAGTTTCATGTTTCCAAACTTTTTTGGACAAGTGTAGGTTAGTATTATATGAGGCACACTGCAGACTGTGGTAACTGATGATGGATGAATGCTGTTCGAGGTACGCTGTTCATAACATCAAGATGCCAACAAGAAGATATATGTGTGTCTTCACCAGTCTTTTTCTTTGTACACACAAAGAGCTCACTTAAACTATGTTGCCTTTGTCTGCAAGATACTGTAGGAGAAAGAAAACATGTTATAAAAAAACAAACAAATAGGCATGTGTTTATATGCCAGAGAGTCTATATCTGGTCTAAAATGAATTAAATAAATTTTTTTAAATTTGAAAATAAAAATTTGTTTTCAGATGAGAATTTTTTTCTTGTTTATAATAAGTGCATTCAGATGCCAATGAAAATATAATGGTAGGCATTTGTTGTTAGACATGTCATTTAGTATGAAGGTGATGAATATCCATGAAAATGTAATAGAGGCTGGCCTGACCTTGACAAAAGATACTGGATGACTATCATATCTCTTTTATTAAAACAAATGATCAACCTATCAAGTCATGTACACTTGTATATGCCTTGCAGAATTATATTTTTCAGACCATTTGATCTTGTTACATGTCCGTTCCACCAGAGCTACCGGCAGTTTCTTTGCCTTTAAGAGATGATTGTCATATAAATTTACCAGTATGCATCATGGGGATGTTACCCACCTGTTGATTTTTAATTCTTCTTTATATGAGATGCCCAAAAAGATAAAGTAATCCCATTTTGATTTCTGAGTAATGCCTGTACCTTCCTTGTTAAAGCACCTCTACCTTTGGGTTGACCAAATATTTTGTCTCACTCCAGGCACAAACCCGGAGTTGAAGCCGTATCTTCTTGCTGCTCACCTTGATGTTGTACCTGCCTCAGACGAGGGCTGGGAACATCCACCATTTGATGGGGTCATCACAGAAGATGGTCACCTCTATGGGCGAGGAACGCTGGATAACAAAGATGGCGTTCTGGTAGTTAAAATGATTCTTTATGCTTGTGCTGTATTTATTAATATTGCACATATATCAAGCTGGCTCACAAATAGTGCCACAGAAAACTCTTTGAATTTCCTTGATTATTTTTATTATTACTGCAGTTTTCATGACACAATTTGACTTATTTTCAGGGTATTCTTGAAGCCTTGGAATTCCACTTAAAAAGAGGATTTAAGCCCAAGAGGACTTTGTTTGTTGCTCTTGGACATGATGAAGAGGTAGGGAAAGCACAGGACGGAGGTAGAGACCTGGTTTAATGGAATAAGGAAACTGTTGTCCCGGGGGCGTCGCGATAGTCCGAAGGTTCATTGGTCCGAAAAATCCTAATATTTTCATCAGTTTTTAAATCAAGGGTTCGTTGGTCCGAAGGTTCTACAGTGAACATTCGGACCAATGAACCTTCGGACTGTTGAACCTTCGGACGTTGCTACGGCCCTGTTGTCTCCACTTGAAGTCATTGGAATTTAGGCGAGTTGTATGGTGTGGGATTGGCTACTTATGATTAAAAATCGATCATGAGCATGCAGTCTATGGTAATGCTGGATTGCATAAGGCCATTTTATCCAATAAATATAAGCATTTATTTATCAATCTGAAATGAAGGGATATTCCAATAGTGTCCTTTAGCATAACATCCTAAACAATGAGTCATTAAGAAAATATAGCATTGTATCAGTTTAATTTCTCATATGTTTGGTACTAGTTAATTTTAGATTATATTCGTGTCATGAGATATGTACGAAATTACATTTGCATGCTCATATGTTGTCAGGTTGGGGGTTACGATGGACATGCACAAATAGGAAAGATTCTGCAGGACCGAGGCATCAGACTTGAATTTATGGTAGATGAGGGAATGCCTGTCCTGGATGTAGGCCTGCCAATGATTGACAAGCCAGTTGCCGTGTAAGTGGGAAAAGTTGACCATGATTGACAACTGATGTGTTGGTGGGAGTGGTTTGTTTCTGATGATGATGGGGTGTTAAATGTTTGTTGGAAATATGGCTAAGTTGTGGTATAACTATTTCAATTTCCCCAATTATTTTTGAAAGGTTTGCATGGTTCAAAAGTGAATAAATTTGTCTGGAAGTTGTCCTGCTCTTGATATATGTTGTAAATACCATATATATACTAGTATATATATATATAAATATATATATATATATATATATATATATATATATATATATATATATGAATACCTTGAAAGCTTTGATTAAAATAGACATAGTGCATTTATACACATTGTATATTACAAAGATTAAATGAAGTCTCATATCAAGGTTGTTTCCTTATCTCTTCTGATTTACAGTATAGGAGCTGCAGAGAAAGGCTACGTGACACTGGAATTCAAGGTGGAAGTACCAGGCGGCCATTCCTCCATGCCGCCTCCTGAAACCAGCATTGGCATTTTATCCAAAGCATTAGCAAGGTGAGATTCTGGGAGGAAATTGTATTATAATATAAAATAACATACCTCCTCTTTCCATTGAGTAGACTACAGAAAAGCTGGTGATAATACAAGCACATTGTTAACAAAAGGAGGCATGTGAGTCTTTTAATCTGATTGCATTCAGCGAGAGTCCCCACGGAGTTGGATCGATTTATGCAGACCAATAATTTCATTGGGAATGAGACCTAAAGTCATTTTACCAAATCGGTTTAAAAGGCTTTTTGAGTCTTGAGCTACTAGTTTGATTTAGAGCCACTCTTGTCATGATGATGGGAATTGGAACTGGCAAATGTGACCAGTCTTCTTTCTGAAGTAAGAGGTAGAGAAAGTAAGAGCTAGAAAATGAATTTATCAGACAGGAGCTTTTTCCATGGAAGCTCAGAGTTCCGTGTTTTTTAATTCAAATCTGATGGTTCCTGAGATACATCTTGTCTGAAATTTGGTAAATGTTCAGAGGCCGTTTTGAAACCTAGGCTCATGTCTGATTTATGGACAGCCATTTTTTATTGAATTTAGGTAGTGCATATGCCTTCATGAATAATGGAAAAAGGAGAATTTTTCTTTTTTTTTCTGAGACTCTCTTTCTCTTTTTTTCTATGTATCACAGGGGACACTTTGGTCTGAGTTACTTCTCCAGCAGGTACACAACAGCTATGATAGGTTTTCCAGAGATCAGCTCTTCAAACGTCAAAAGTAAATTCATGGGGTGATCACCTCATGCTTAGCATACTGCAACTTTTTACTCTATGATAGTAACAAAGAATGCATAAAAACTGCAGCAATCTCAGGATATTTCAGCGTCTTTTACACTGTCTCCACACAAAATGTCAGTAACCATGTCAGTGCTCCAAGAAATATAATACAATAGAATTCTTTACTTTTAAAGCTGTGAAGATTTTCAGTCGAGCATATAGGCCCAAAATGGTTATGGCTGACAAAATGATATTGCTCTCCATTATTATGATAGCAATTGCCTTTTTCTTCATATTACTAGTAAAGTTAAATGTTCTTTCTCTTTCTGCCATTGTGATTGTAAAAGTCCTTTTCCTTCTTGCCATTGTTTCTCATTTTCAGTGTTTTCAAATTAAAGTTGACTCTTTTCTTGTTGTAGAGAAAATACCATTTCCTTTGAAATGCAGTTAACATGAAATAAAGGATCACTTTTGATTTTTTCCTTCTGTTGTTCACAATATCTTTCAGTTCTCAATTTTTCTTATTCCAATTGATGAATTTCATATTCTCTTTCAATACAAGTGGCCTTTAAACTTTTAATTGTCTCAGAATTTCTACTAATTTTTTTCTTACAATTTCTAGTTCCTTTAATTTTGCTCTGAGATTCTGCAATTTTGTCTTTACAGCGGCTGAAGCGTCTAGTTCATCAGTTACAGAGTCACACTCACGGAAAGGAAATATTGTTTCTTCTGGCACATCCTCTGGTGTTTGCATGCTCTCTGGTGCATTTTCTATCAAGGCATTGCAACCCATTTCTGACTCACATGTATAAGCTTGGACTGCCTGTTTCTGATGACAAGTCTTCTTTCTGCTCTGCCATTTCTTCATTCTTTCTTGATCTTTTCTCAGGCGTGATGGTGACTTTTTTCTTTTTGATGCTGCTAATTTAGGGAACTGTTTCAACATACAGTAATTTCTGGTCTCTTGGATCGTTCTTCCTGACAATTGTAATTGTCAGCTTGTCTCCATCTTTGTCTATATTGTATGCAGTTGGCATCCGATCCACTTCCGACAGAATTTTTTTCAACATGTCTGTCACTTCTTTATGCAAATCTGCAGATTTCAGTTTTGTCATACCAAAAGGTACCTCTAGCACCTCTTTGTATCCTGCTTGATGTAGGAAGCGTTTGTCTGCTTGTGCTTCACTCTGAGCTCTGATCCCAAATCTTTCATCTCTAATACAAAGTTCTTTTCCTTTTATACTAATACACACAAAATACATTACAGTGATTCCTAAAACAAGTCAGAGATATTGAAGCCAATTAACAGAACTAGGACATATTACTAGAGACCCTTACGTAATTAAAGTCAGACTGCTTTAAACTCTAACTTGGCGATGAAGCTGAAATAAAGTTATTCAATCCTTTTAAAACTGAAAACATCCTTTAAAACTTGGTTACAGTTCTTTTCAATGAATAACATACATAAACAGATTCATATAATATCATTATAAAGGAGACATCTGAACAATCTTTACCAAATGTTGATTTAATTAGATTTAAATGTGGAAGTTTCTAAAATGAAGTTTGGCCGTGAAATCACCACTATGACATATATCAAGGACTAACTTAAAAAAGCATGGTATGTCAATCACAACAGTATATCAAATTGCAGGTTAGAATCCTCGCCCCACCCTAGCTTTTTTGGCTATGGACCTGAGGCAGCTAGTATGGAACATGTGGCACCACATGTAAGTTGTTTTTTTTTTAACTTGATCAATGTTTATGATTTTAATTTAGTTTTTAATAACTACATTAAGAGTGATTATAAACCTCATAGGTATATTAATTATGAAATGGTTATTGAGAAGTATGACCCAGTTTCAACTATGGGAAAGAAGGAGCTGCAAGTATGTGACACATTAAAAATATGTTTGTTTGAAAATTAGTTGATTGATGAATGTGTCTCGATCAGTTCTTTTTATTATTTATGTTTCAGATGTCTTTCTTTGGCAAATTCTTGATGAGTAACCTGTGGCTTTTAGGACCATATGTCTCCAGGTGAGGAAAAAACCTTGAAATACTTGTATGCATTTTAAGACCAACTTCTTTTTAATATAAACAAAGTGAACATGAGCTTGGTGCATTTTCACTTCTGTTTCTTTTTTTTTTCCAAATGAGGGATTAAGGAGTCATGTATTGTAGTGGTATAACAAAGAGAACATCATGAAACCAAACCAAACAATTTTCCGGCCATCTCTGTTACCTATATGTAATTGTCAATTCCACTGTTTTATATTTGAAAGATGCTGAGCAAATTAAGAAAAAAATGTCCTTGTGATATTTTCTTAACAAAATCTTCATTTTTAACTCCAGTATTTTCCCGGTTTTCTTTAAATCTTTTATCTAATGTGTACATGTATCAGTCTTACTGTCCAATTCTATTCTGTTCAAAAAAAGATTGTTTGATTTTAGACTGCTATCCAGTAATCCTGCCACAAATGGGCAAGTTCGGACTACAACAGCTATCACCGTATTCAATGCGGGAATAAAGGTTGGTTGGAATTTAGCACATTTTGAGCTAAATGTCCTTGGTAATGGTGCAATGATTTCAGTTGGGAACGTTAATTTCTGGTTTCTAGTCCAGAGTCCAAAATTACCCCTAAATAAATAAAAAAATGTGCAAACCTTGCCTATTGTTATTATTATTAGTGAAGTAAATGGCATTGTATACTTTCATATGCCAAAGAATTACATTTGTTCAAAAGTCATCATTTATAGCTTTTAGATTTTAACATGAGAACGAAGCAATTTAATGGCTTTTTAAATTTTTTTATGGGAAGAAAAATAGCTTAACAGTTTAATTTTTTTCTGTTCTTGAATGTGTAACATATGATTTTATATCATGTTTTCTCTGAAACTTGGTATGGCTGTGTGAATTCCATTTAAATTTAGCTGTAAAACTGGGCTGGGTTAAACAATCTGTTTAAACAACTGTCCATTTGAATTTTATCTTGTTGGGCCATCCCCTTTCTATTCAATCATTTTTTGAAATGATCATTATTAAAAGCATATTCAGTGATTAATGTAAGTTTATTTATTTTTCTTATAAATTTTCTTTTTTTTAAACAAAATTTGAGGACAATGTTCTCCCTCCTGTTGCTACAGCCTATGTGAACCACAGAATACATCCAGCACAGTCCATTTATTTATTTATTTATTTATTTATTTATTTATTTATTTATTTATTTATTTATTTATTTATTTATTTATTTCAGGACAATGTTCTCCCTCCTGTTGCTACAGCCTATGTCAACCACAGAATACATCCAGCACAGTCCATTTATTTATTTATTTATTTATTTATTTATTTATTTATTCATTTATTTATTTCAGGACAATGTTCTCCCTCCAGTTGCTACAGTCTATGTGAACCACAGAATACATCCAGCACAGTCCATTCAGGATGTGAGTGACTTCTGGAACTTCTCTACACTGGAGTTTATAACAAATTACCTTGCTTCACCAAATCAGTAACAAATCTGGTTTACAATATGTAAATAAAATAGAACCCAAAACATACTTATGTAAGTCCGTTTTGAAAAGTTTTGCACCAATCAACTATGTCACAAAATCAACAAATCAAATAAAATTGGTTGACAATGTAAATGAAATAAGACACAATTAAAACATTTTTATAAGTCAGAATTGAAAGTTTTTGTAACAGATTACTTTAATTGTTTCACCAGGGCAGTCGTACATTGCTCAAATTGATAAACCAGCACATATTAGAGATCTTCAGACACTTAAATTTTATCATTTTATACTAGAACTCTGGATGGGATTAACAACTGAAGACGAATCAGGTCTATAATGATAAGACAAATTAAAATATTACAGAAAATTCATTATATAAGTTTTAGCAATTAAAACAGAAACCACATCATTTATTTTAGGTTATAGACTATGACAGGGCAGTTGTCAATGATGATCGTGTTCATATAAAACAATTACACCTGGAGGATGCAATAGAGCCATCCCCTGTCTCCCCTACAGGCCCANTACCGATACCTCAACCTGACTGACTCTATCTATAGGTTCTTGCCTGCTGTGATGGGACCAGAGGAGCCCAAAAGAATTCATGGATACAACGAGAGAATTGCTTTGCAGAACTTTGAGCAAATAATCAACTTCTTTTATCACCTAATTCTCAATGCAGACCAGGAAAAGTTGCAGGTTCTTCACTCTCATACTGAGGAGTTGTAAACTATGTGGATTCCAGTAGGTGGCAGCAAGTTAGCCTGAGCACTGCCAAAAGAGGGCAGCACTTAAGAGTGCAAAAAGTCAAACAGAAGACTATAAAGCTATTGAAAGTAAAGAAAATATCTCTGAAGCTGCCCCTGTTTAATAAACTATCAGAAAACATTTTTTACATTTTTTTTCAACACATTCAATATCCAAATATCCAAAATTGTATTTGAATAGGGATGAAGTAATTCTCAGTTTCATATATATATATATATATATATATATATATATATATAAGAGAGTTTAACACCTTGTATTTACGCTGATCCTAACCAACACAGAGGTTCAAGTCCAATGCTTACCAGTATCTTCATTTGTTAACCAATGTCCCCCAAAACCTGAGAAATCTTTCTTGATTGACAAAAAATTATTTTTAAGTAACACATGCCTTTGGGCTATGTCAGGTATTATTCCCATTACAGATGCAGTTAATCAGTTTTTAAGTTTTTTTCATGTTGATAATGGATGTCTTCAAATTTGTCCATTTTAGCTTTTTCGTTTTCTTTTTATTTAACCCATTTACTATATCTGGCTATTGTAGGTATCATGGTGGCCAACACAGATACAAGACACTACCGATACCTCAACCTGACTGACTCTATCTATAGGTTCTTGCCTGCTGTGATGGGACCAGAGGAGCCCAAAAGAATTCATGGATACAACGAGAGAATTGCTTTGCAGAACTTTGAGCAAATAATCAACTTCTTTTATCACCTAATTCTCAATGCAGACCAGGAAAAGTTGCAGGTTCTTCACTCTCATACTGAGGAGTTGTAAACTATGTGGATTCCAGTAGGTGGCAGCAAGTTAGCCTGAGCACTGCCAAAAGAGGGCAGCACTTAAGAGTGCAAAAAGTCAAACAGAAGACTATAAAGCTATTGAAAGTAAAGAAAATATCTCTGAAGCTGCCCCTGTTTAATAAACTATCAGAAAACATTTTTTACATTTTTTTTCAACACATTCAATATCCAAATATCCAAAATTGTATTTGAATAGGGATGAAGTAATTCTCAGTTTCATATATATATATATATATATATATATATATATATATAAGAGAGTTTAACACCTTGTATTTACGCTGATCCTAACCAACACAGAGGTTCAAGTCCAATGCTTACCAGTATCTTCATTTGTTAACCAATGTCCCCCAAAACCTGAGAAATCTTTCTTGATTGACAAAAAATTATTTTTAAGTAACACATGCCTTTGGGCTATGTCAGGTATTATTCCCATTACAGATGCAGTTAATCAGTTTTTGAGATTTTTTCATGTTGATAATGGATGTCTTCAAATTTGTCCATTTTAGCTTTTTCGTTTTCTTTTTATTTAACCCATTTACTATATCTGGCTATTGTAGGTATCATGGTGGCCAACACAGATACAAGACACTACCGATACCTCAACCTGACTGACTCTATCTATAGGTTCTTGCCTGCTGTGATGGGACCAGAGGAGCCCAAAAGAATTCATGGATACAACGAGAGAATTGCTTTGCAGAACTTTGAGCAAATAATCAACTTCTTTTATCACCTAATTCTCAATGCAGACCAGGAAAAGTTGCAGGTTCTTCACTCTCATACTGAGGAGTTGTAAACTATGTGGATTCCAGTAGGTGGCAGCAAGTTAGCCTGAGCACTGCCAAAAGAGGGCAGCACTTAAGAGTGCAAAAAGTCAAACAGAAGACTATAAAGCTATTGAAAGTAAAGAAAATATCTCTGAAGCTGCCCCTGTTTAATAAACTATCAGAAAACATTTTTTACATTTTTTTTCAACACATTCAATATCCAAATATCCAAAATTGTATTTGAATAGGGATGAAGTAATTCTCAGTTTCATATATATATATATATATATATATATATATATATATAATTAAAATTCATGGTTTTCATGGGCATACCCAGAGTCAGAGTCGGGGTAATTGCATGTCTCTTGTTTATTTATTTATTTATTAATTTTAATTGTGTACAAATGCTCCGGACTGTTGAGCACTCTGTTCCACCCTCACGCTTGTTATATATATATATATATATATATATATATTTTTTTTTTTTTAATTTATGATATATTTTTCTGTATTGGGCAAGTTTCAGAAGCAGCATATTGGTTTTACAAAGTTTGCACCAGTTTATTTGTAAATTTTATGTATTCAGTTTATCTCTGCCATTAACCAAGTGACTTTGTTTTGCTCCCAGGAGATTAAATTTATGTTATACGTTTTACTCTATTCTCATAAAATACAAGTAGAATTCCTTTGCCATGAACTGGAGGATTTTAATTATTTTAACTGGATTTAAATAAGTTAAAATGACTAATTACAATTAGTTAAAACTACTAATGGGGTCTTGACATATTTGAGACCCATTCTTTTTATCAATACAAACATACACTGATATTTCATCTTTTCTGTCAAAATCCACATCAGCATATAATGTGTGTTGTGGTTCAAGAAACCACATATTTGTAATAGTTGCAATTATTTTACCCAGCCTTTGTCATGAAATTGATTAATTTATAAAAGCGATACTGTTTTTTTAGAACACTTATGTTTTTCTCATCCACGCTGAGTGCCACAAGCATAAGTCAAGTGCACCTTAAAAATATATTCATATGCAAAACAGGATTAACAAGTGTATTTGTGGTAGAACTGAAAAAGATTTTGAATCTCCTTTAATATTGATTTTTGTATTAACATGCATGAATGTGTATATATTTTTGTTTATGCATTGTCATATGGATGCTGTATACAGTCTTTTAGTACATATTTGTTAATATGTTAGTAGCATTTCCTTTTAAAATTTTAAAAATGTATGTCTTGGTTTTTTGTGCTGTGCACTCAGTTTGATTATAGGGTTAGCCGTTTATTGTTGTACCATATGATTAAAGGTAGGCTACCCCCATTAGACATATCTTTTTATAGCCAAATAAATTTTTCCTGGAATTGTCATCACTTTTTCCTTACTCACTATTTCCAAACCATTTGACAAAATAACAATATTTTTATTGTTATGTTTATATAATTTTTGAGTCACTCTCATATTGGACATGGAGACTGGTGAAGTGCAAATGATAAAATTGAAATTTACAACTCCAAAATGGATGATCAGATCAAATTTTTCTTAGGAGAAGGGACATGCCTTGACGTTTTAAGGAAAATTGATGATTTTTTAGAAATAGTAATGTTTCCCATATGAAGGTCTGAAGTGCGTAGAATGCTTTTAGGACAGAACATAATTTAAAGTGTGTATGTCAAAATCTTATTGTATGCGTACAAATCCTTGCTTTTTAAAGTGTTGTTTCACACAATAGGATTTAAAATCCAATTACTTGATATATGTGCATTTTATTTTTGTTTTTTAACTGTTGATGTGCTCAACAAAGATACTTTTATTATTGCACATAGTCAGTGTCAACTTAGGCCAATACTGTTATTAGATTTCAATTCAGTGCGTGGTTGGCAAAAGGGAACGCGTGCGTTTGTATTGTAATTAGCCCTGGAAAAAACCTTTTAAGAGAGTTTCTGAAGGTATTGTAATGCCTCTCTTCCCGGAAGGCCATTGATACCTGGCTCACCAAGACGTTTTGACTGTGAGATGTACTTTGCAAGCGTAATTATTTCGAAGACCATTCTTTCAGTTCAGACAGATAAAACAAGATCAAAAGACACGTTGTATGGATAAGGAGTTGGCTGTATGCTCTCCTTTTGGTCCATTTTCTACTAAAAACAAATGCACTCCGAGGCGTCAAATTCCTAATTTTCGACGTTTTATTTTCTTATTTATAAAAAGATGTCGTTTTTGTTTGTTTGCCCTCATCTACACGATTTAACGTACGCTTTCATGTGCTCTGTGGTTAGCATAGACAGCGCTGATTTCCTTAGAGACCATTCCCAGAGACTATCGTACTAAATTTGGATCGAACTATCTCCGAGGGAATTCTCGCTTATGTGCAATTAACTTGGGCGGCTTAGATATCTGTTACGCCTGTTGAGACTGATAGGGGATAATTAACTATCGTCACCTTTTTAAGTAAAACCTCAATCCTAAAAGCTGATCCCAGGTCACCAGACAGTCATTTATGCCATGTATTTAACAGTGCCAAAAAAGATACTCTAGTGTCCCTCTCCAACTTTATAATCAAATCATTCAAGAAAAGAAGTGAAGTAGTTGCTCTGCTTGGTAACTCTTAGCATATCCTTTAAAATGTCAGTGTATGGTCCCACTGTTGTGAGAAGTGACTCGGCAGTGGGACTGAACATGGCACAATATTTATATCTGTGTAACTTATTTACTTATCTGTCTTATGTAATTGTCATTAGTCGTAATTATCCATGTCATCAAACTGGCTTTAAACAGCTATGTAACCTTGGTTTAAGTTTAAACATATTCTTTTTGTGTAACATGTTTATAGTATGTTTATGGTAAATTTAAAATCACACCAAGGTTTATCGCATTGCTTAGATAGAATATTTTATGAGTAATTTTACTGATACGTATGTCCATTATATAAAGATGGTAATGCACTAACTGTATTGTATCGTCATTAGTATATCATATTGTACAAGGTCATGACAATCTATGTACCAGTACAGAAATAAATTGAATTGAATTGAATTGTTAGCAGCTTTAGTGGGCGTCCCAGACGTCTACACCATTTGGGCTAAAAGCAGTTTAGCGAGGGATCCCGTGGAGATGGACCGATTCTGTTAGATTGATCTAGGGATGGCAACCCAGTCTTAAAACCGCACCGTGTTTATGTGTTGTTCTGTGGGCTGCAGTAACAGTGATCAGAGATTCCCTTTACTTTAATCTCGAACAAATCTTCGAGAACAGATTGTCTGCCTTTGGTATCAGCTGACATAGGGGTATGTATTGTCTAAAGACAATGCGGACTGTCCGACATATTACTGGATGTCTGGTGTATGAGATACCGACAACAGCGACAGGCGTCATACCACAGGTAGACCTTTTAAACTGGCGTTGATATTTTTCAGAAAAAAGTGACACGTCGATCTTCGCTGTCGTGGTGGTTCACGTATGTTGAAGCACGTGCTAATCTATATTTTCAACTGCCTGTTTGTGTTTAAAACCACCAGCACAGCAAACTGCTTCCACGGATCTTGTAAGTCAGACTACGCGGGATCGGCCGCAGAATCAATCTTGATTTGTCTTCTAAGAAATATGCTGCCTTAATTAACTGAGAGCGATTTTCGAACTAATGAGACTAGTGCAGGGGATCTTTGTGGGAAAATCCGACTGCTAGCAATGTTCAGCAACGTGCAGAAAAGCTGATCGCGAGGTATGTTAGGCCGCATTCACATTGAGAAGAGCCGAGGCTCTACAAAGCCGAGAACTAAATATGGCGGACGTACATGAAAGAAACCCCCCTAATCCTTTAACTGTCTCTCCGCCTCTCACACGCCTCCCCACGCGTGGCCCCAATGGAGCCGAGATTTAATGACTGTACCCCCGCAGGGACGACGCGTGTGAGAGGCGGAGAGACTATTATAATGTATAAGCTCACCATAGAACACAATGGAAGGATTCAACAGTGCTAGTCGTCGATCTCACAGAACGCAGGCCCGTAACCAGCAAATTCTAAAGGGGGGGGGGGGTCTTTTTCTGAAAAAGTTTACCTTTTACAATGAAACCTTTGTGTACCTGGATCAAATTGTACCCAGAATGGACTCTTTCTAGACAAAAAGAGCGGTTCCTTCGAACCCCCCGACCCCCCCTTCGCTAGGGGCCGGGAAAGAAATTAATGATTTTGGCTGC